TCCATGTATCACTTAATTTCTGTTTTAATTTTTTCATTGATCCATTGGTTATTTAGGAGCATATTCTTTAGCTTTCATGTATTCGTGGGCTTTTTCATTTACCAGGTCTAATTTATTTCTAGTTTCATAACATTGTGGTCTGAGAAGCCGCTTGATACAATTTCAGTCTTTTTGAATTTATTGAGGCTGTTTTTGTGGCTTAGTATATGATCTATTCTGGAAAATGTTCCATGTACACTTGAGAAAAATATGTATCCTGCTGCTTTTTAGTGGAATGTTCTGTAGATATCTGTTAAGTCCATTTGATCTAATATATTGTTCAGTGTCTCTGTTTCCTTATTTATTTTCTGTCTGATTGATATATCTGCTGGTGTGAATAGTGTGTTAAAGTCTCCCAAAATGAATCATTTGCAGTCTATTTCCCTTTAATTCTGTTAGCATTTGTTGTCTGATAATTGTTATGTAATTTCCTTTTTCTCTTGTTACTTTCTTTTTTTTTTTGAAGTCTATTTTGCCTCATATAAGTACTCCCATTCCTGTGTTTTTCTCCCTATTATTTGCATGAAATACCTTTTTTTCCATCCCTTCTCTTTCAGTCTGTGTGTGTCTTTGGGTCTGAAATGAGTCTCTTGTAGGCAGCATATAGATAGGTCTTGTACCTTTATTCATTGTGCCAACCACTGTCTTTTGGTACATTCAGTCCATTTATATTTAAGGCAATTATTGCTAGGCATGTACTTATTGCTGTGTTTTGGTTGTTTTTGTAATGTCGCTTTGTTCCTTTCTTCCTCTCTTATACTCTTGTTATGTGATGGTTTTCTTTAGTGTTATCATTAGATTTCTCTTTTTACATTTTGTGTGTATCTATTACAGGCTGTAGGCTTGTGGTTACAAGAAGGTTCATGGATAGCTTCCTAACTAACAGTCTACAGTAAGTTGATGAGTTCTCTATATCAAATACAATCTAAAAGCAATTTTTTATTCTTCTTCCTCCACTACACTTTATATATTAGATGTCATAATCTGCATTTTTTTGTGTATCCTTTGACTGAGTTTGTGTATAGTTGGTTTTACTACTTTTGCTGTGTTTTGTTTTAATTTCATACTTGCTTGATAAGTAATTGGTGTACTACTTTGGGTCTATTTTCACTGGCGAAAATTATTTAGGCTTAGGAACATCTCCATCTACAGCAGTCCCTTTAATATATCCTTTAATGCCAGTTTAGTAGTGGGAAATTTCTTCAGCCTTTATTTATCTGGGAAATGTTTAATCTCTCCTTCAAATTTGAGTCATACCTTGCTGGGATGAGGATTCTTTGTTGAAGGTCCTTCTGTTTCAATACATTATTTATTTCATGCCACTCCCTTCTGGCCTGTAAAGTTTTTGCTGAGAAGTCTTCTGATAGCTTGATCAGGTTGACCTTTTAGTAATCTTTTTTTCTCTCCCTGGCTGCTTCCAGTGCCCCCTCCTTGTCCTTCCTCTGTCTACCTCATTCTAATTCTGTTTCTGTGTGGTCTTCCTGGGGCTCCTTCTGTGCTGCTCCCTGGGCTTCCATGACCTGGGTGTCTATTTCCTTCCTCACTTTGGGGACATTTTTTAGTAATTATTTCTTCAAGGAGACTGTCCACCCTGTTGTCTGTCTGATCTCCTCTAGTCCCCCTAGTATGTGAATATTGCTTCATTTGGAGTTCTCACTCAGCCCTCTTAGCCTTCTCTCATTCCTAGAGACCCTTTCCTCTCTGTTCCTTGGCCTCCCTGCGGCCTGTGCTCTGACCTCCCCCCACTGAGCGTCTCCTAGACTTCAGCACTCTATTTTTCATTCCTCCTTTGCATGTATCCTCTCAGTTGCTGTGTTCCTCAGCTCTCAGTGGCTCTGTTTCATCTCTTCTGTCTTTCTGGTGAAGTCTCCTCTGTGATCATCAATGCTTGTCTGTAGATCGGTGAGCATATTTATGACTGGCACCTTGGCATCTTTTTTAAGAATATTGGTGTTCTCTTGTTTCATTTAGCCCACTTTCTGGTGTCTTATCTGTAGTTTTGTTTGGAACGTATTCCTCTGCCTCCTCATTTTGTCAGGGTTTCTGTGTTTCTTCCTTTGTCTTGGATGGATCTGCTATGCCTCCTTGTGTGGAGAGTAATAGCTTTATGAGAAAGGTGTCCTGTGGTGCCCAGAAGCTCAGGACTCTTTGCTCCCCAGTGCCTGGTTCTCCTCTCTGCTGGAGTCCCAGCTGCTGTTGGTGGGCAATGGTTGGGGTCGTCTGTCTGTCTGCTGACAGTGGTCTGTCTCAGTCCACAGTGGAAGGCAGTTTGCCTCAGCTGGCCTTTTGTGATCAGAGCAGGGGTGCTTCTGTTGGGATTACTGTGGGCCTGGCTGCCCTTCATCTGCCCTGCACGAGTTTTGGGACTACTGGGTTAATGGGGTGGGTGGGGTGTTTGTTTGGCTCTGGGGCAGGCTTGCACTGGTAGTGGGAGTCTCTTTGGTCAGGACTGCCTGTGATGAGGGCAGAGTGCTTGGAGCTGTCTCCTGGAAGCACCTCTCTAATTGGGCTGAGACAGGGTGGAGAAAGCTAGGAAAGCCTTCCTCTGCCTGCTGGGCAGAAAGTCTGGCACTGCTGGGCCGAGCAGGTGGGTGGGTGTACAGGGAAGCCTCTCACGGCTGAGCTGCCAGCCAAGGGGGTTGCAGCATTCGGGACTTCCTGGTGTGCCAACCTGTTGGGCCATGTGAAGGCTGGGATGTGTTGTCCACCTGCCCTTCTCCTGTGGAGAGAGCTCTGTCCGACTCTTGCTCCTTTGGCATCCAGCTCCTGGCACATCTTTCAAACTGCTGCCTCTGTTTTGGGTCTCAGTGGGACCAGCAGAGTGTGCCTGTTCTCCCCAAGCTTCTGGAGTCTCAGCCTCCCAGAGTGCTCTGACTCTCACCAGTGTCCAGCCCCACTAATCACCAGGACCCAGTGCAGTGCAGACTACTGCTCCCAGAGCAGATCTGCAGGGCCAGGTGTGCAGAGCTCCTGAGCGCCTGCGCCCTTCCTGTGCTGTTACTTTTCCCTCTGCTTGTGGGCTGAGACGAGGGGAGGGCTTGGGGCCCACTGGAATACAGCTTACCACGTTACCATTCTCTGGTGGTCCTCTCTCCTCCCCCAGGTGTAGGTGGTCTGTCCTGCAGTCTCCAGGTCATTGTCAGGGTGAGCTGTAGTTACTGTAGTTGCTTCTTTGGTGTGTGTGTGGGAGGAGGTTTTCACTTTGCCTTCCTACTCCACCATCTGTTTCCCCCCTCCTCTTAAAAACAATATTTTGACATGAAAACGTGGCCAAGATAAATTGCTAAATGGAAAAAAGGAAGATTTTAGAAGGGTTTTAAACATTGTGTACAATGTGACTATTTGTGGAAAAAAATCCAAGTATTTTGTATATATTTCTATTTATATACACACATACTTGTATATTGTAAATATCTGAAAAGATACTGAATCAGTCAGAGTTCTTAATTTTCAAGCAAATGAGATCAACTTTGTCCAATATAAGTAAAAAAGATCACTTGAAAGATAGTAAATAACTCTGAAATCTCTGGAGTGCCTATAGAATTAGAAGTAATGCCCAAAGTCTACTGCTTGACGTGTTCCACGAAGACACCCTGTCGGTGGATGTGGGTGTGCAGTCTGAATGACTGAGACCACTGAGACTTCTGCTGGAGTTTTGGCCAGTGTTATCAGTACTCTGGAATGTATTCTGGATACTTGCTGCTCTTTTTTGTCATCTGTTTACAGTTCAGAATCTGGCATAGGTGCATTTGATTGTCAGAGCTTATGTTTTGTGCCCTATTTGCAAGTGAAGCTGGGAAAGTGACTATGTGGGCCTTCTGTAGTGGGCAGAGGGCCCTGCCTCATCAGATGGGGTGTTGCCTAATGTATAAAGAGGATAAGGAGCTTGGACGACAGACTGAAAGCCATCTACTGCAGATAGTCAGGGATTGCTGGTGTTGGTTAGTTCTGAGCAGTGGGGATGGAATGGCTTAATGGGCTGCTAAGGGAACCTTTTTGTGCTCTTTGAATTAAAAAAAATTATATAACAATGATAATAAAAAGACTTTGGGGAACAAAAGTGGACTTCATTTTTTCCCACCACTTCCACTGTTATACTGCTCCCATTGGAATCCAAGAGGGCTTCCCAACATAATGGGACAATTCCATCAAATTTTCCAAATCAATTTCATTGAGAAATTCACCATACAATTTCCTCTTAACTTCAGTCACCTCTATATTGCTTGTACATAGTTGGGCAGAGAAATCATGAAATGGTTTTCACTGGGATACTAGTGGCTGCTTCTTCCTTTTCGTCTGGTGGAACTAATTTAGTATAATTCTTTGAGGTCTATAGGATTCAGCTTTGAAAATTAAGGTGTTGTATTGACTGATATGGTTGATGCAGTGCTGATAAATGCAAGGTGCAAAACTAAAATATACTTAAAATTTGGCTGTACTGTGTGATTTTTCTGTTTTTCTACTATTTGCTTCTCTATAAAAAACTAGTCTGAGAGCTTTAGTCCAATAAAGTATTAGCATATTAAAGCTTTTTAAACTCTATTTCTTAGAACAGTTTTGATTTATGAAACAAGTATGAAGATTGTACAGTAGAGTTTCCATATGCCCCACACATCCAGGTTTCCATGTTAACATCTTACATTAGTTTGGTACATTTGTAACAATTAATTACCCAATATTGATATATTATCATTGACAAAAGCCCATGATTCATTAAGATTTTATTAGTTTTTATCTTAAATCCTTTTTTCTTTTCCAGGATAGTTGATGTATTTTATACATTTATATAGTACTTTTTCATATGTGTAGTAATGTCATAGAGCTATATAATTCTAGTTCTGATAGAATCTGGGGGAAAATAAATAAAATCTTGGCCATAATGAGATTCTATATTCTTTTATGTACAAATTTCTTATGAGAAAGAATAATCAACCTTTAATTTTTTTCTGTTCCATATTCAGTGGAACAAGTTCCTGTAGATCCGTACAACATCCCCCTGTCCCAGGCTGAAGTTATACAGGAAGGGAGTGATGTCACTCTAGTTGCTTGGGGCACTCAGGTCAGTAGCACTCACAGCAGTTGGTAATGTCCATATGTGCTTGGAAGCTGTCATTTTTAATCATGATACCATGAAGAATTTAAAGTGATGTTTTCCTTATGTCTCAAAGTCTTGTTCGTGGCTACATCTATATCTGGTACTGACTTCTGATTGAAGGTGGGTGCTTATCACTCATATTAAAATAAATATGCATATGGTGAATCCATTAAAAATACACTGGGTTTGCAAAAATGTATTTGTTGAAAATACTTTTTATGAAGTACACCTTACCTGTCTTCACTACTTATTTCTGCAGTTGACTGTCATTTGCATCCCATCTGCTGTCATCTCCCATGAACAGTTTCCTGGATATGTACCCGTGCAGTGGTGTAGCCTCAGAATTCCATACTCTTCTCTTTTCTAGCAAACCTCATCCCTGAACTATCTCAGCTTTCTCTGGTGCTTGTCAGATTGCTTTACCTGCGAACTTTTAAACTCAGGACCCTTTTTCCCTCTGGCCATAGACTGCCGTCTTTTATACTTTTATCTCTTTGTTTTAAAGAAATGGTCAGTTTTTCTTTACTCCATGTAAAGGAAATACTTGCTTATTTTAGAAAATTTAATACAGCATTGTATAAAGAAGATAATGAAAATCATTTTTAATACCACAGCTTCCCACTTCCTTCTCCACTTTGATTTTGGCTTGGGCAGCTGCAGTCCTCGGGGTTTCTCGCCTCTCTTAGTCTTCTGTCCACATCTCTGTCTCTCTTAGCAGGTGTCCTTACTTCTCTCTTTAACGGAGAAATTAGAGTGGGTAGACATAACCTGGCTTTTCCTTCACACCAATCACTTGGCTGTCAATCCTTTCCTCTTTCCCTTTTGTCCTCAAAGAAGAGGGGTCTGATTTCCATAACTGCCTCTCCAGACCTCATTCAGATTCTATTAGATTTTAACTTCCCCAGGTCTGTGACTCATTAGCTGGTGTCTCTCTCTCCTACATCTTCAGTTTCTCCTTTTCATGTCCCTTTTATTAAAAAGGTATGTATCTCTATCTAAAAAGTAACTTTTCTCTACCCTACTTTTCCCTTAAATGCCAGTATGTCTCCCTCCTTTATCACTAAACCTAAACAATTCTCTACTACTCATATGTAGTTCCTGTATGTTCTTGTACCTCATGAGCTTTGCTCCTGCTAATTTCCTAATACTATTTCTGCTAACATTGCTAATCTTCTAACTGTAAATCCAACGCTTATGCCATATTGCTATGGTCTATGACACTTTTTATATGAAACCCTTTCTTCTTTTGCTTCTGTTTCTTTAACTGTGTTTTCATCATTTTTTAAAAAAGTGATCTCTAGTTTCCTTCAGTGTTGATCATCCACAGGGTTCCTTGATTTTGCCCTTTGCTTCTCCCTCTGCACGCTTTCTCTAGAAACTTAACCTATTCCTGTGATTTTATTTACCTTCTGTGTGCTGGTATCTTAAGTATCAGTAAGTCTAGCAATGATTGCTCTCCCTTTCTGTAAGAATCTCTTGCCAATTGTTTTCTAGAAATCTATATTTGACTATTTTGGAGGGATATAGGGTTCAACATTCCTAAAATAAATTTAGTTCTTCATGCAAATTCCCCTGTTTTTAAACACTATCTCTGTTAATGATATCAGAATTCAACTAATTTTTCAGACCTGAATCTCTATAGTCAATCTTTGCATGTTTTTCTCCTTAATTCAGGTTCATGTGATCCGAGAGGTAGCTTCCATGGCTCAGGAAAAGCTGGGAGTGTCCTGTGAAGTCATTGATCTGAGGACTATAATACCTTGGGATGTGGATACAGTTTGCAAGGTATGAATATAATGTGATAGAGTATCATTTCCTCAAAATCTTGGGCCAGATTTGTTGGTTGTTTGCAAAGAATTATTTTGAAATTTTAAGCTTTATGAGAGTTTTCAACTGATTAAAATACCTTAAAGTTTACACTATGCGTGAAATGAGTGCTGTCTAGTCAGCTTAATGCTCAAGGAAACAAATCAGTTTAGGTTTATTCCCTTTTGTAGTTCTGTGTTGAAAATATTGTAAAACTGTGTCCTTCATGCACCCAGGTAGTTTTGAGTTGTGTGAATGGTAGAGTGGTGCAAATAGCGTATCAGGGATATTGAAGTTACCTGTGTTTTTAACTTATTATTGTTTATGGTTTGATATCTAGGTTTAATATAGTCAGCTAAATGGTTTGGCTAGATTTTTATTCATTTCTTGTCCAAAAGGATGGAAATGGATTATTTTAAGAACTCTCTTTGCATAGCCTTAATACTGTGGATCACAATTTGAATGCTATGTTGTGGGATTCTGGCTACTCTGGTTCAGTTTTCTATCAAAGTAGACTCTTTACAGCCTGCTCTCAAGAATGTAGTTTAGTTCTTATTTACTTGGCTATAATCAGTATCTTTGTATGAAGATAAAAAGTCTAGATAAAGTAAAGTGCACCTTTTCCCATGTTGGTATATAGGGAAGGTCAGGCTCTTTTTTTTGTGATGGTCTTATCTCCTAAAGTTTAGGTAACACTGCATGCATTATTTTTTCTCTTACTTTACTATTATAGTCATTGAATACTAGTAAGGATTTTTAAGTTTATTATTTTTAAGAGCTATGGAATCCTCACAACTTTTATAGACCATTTCTTAGGCTGTTGCATGAAAACCTGAAGCTACTACTGCTGTAAAAATGCAGTGTCTTTAGGTGAGGATNTCTGTAGATATCTGTTAAGTCCATTTGATCTAATATATTGTTCAGTGTCTCTGTTTCCTTATTTATTTTCTGTCTGATTGATATATCTGCTGGTGTGAATAGTGTGTTAAAGTCTCCCAAAATGAATCATTTGCAGTCTATTTCCCTTTAATTCTGTTAGCATTTGTTGTCTGATAATTGTTATGTAATTTCCTTTTTCTCTTGTTACTTTCTTTTTTTTTTTGAAGTCTATTTTGCCTCATATAAGTACTCCCATTCCTGTGTTTTTCTCCCTATTATTTGCATGAAATACCTTTTTTTCCATCCCTTCTCTTTCAGTCTGTGTGTGTCTTTGGGTCTGAAATGAGTCTCTTGTAGGCAGCATATAGATAGGTCTTGTACCTTTATTCATTGTGCCAACCACTGTCTTTTGGTACATTCAGTCCATTTATATTTAAGGCAATTATTGCTAGGCATGTACTTATTGCTGTGTTTTGGTTGTTTTTGTAATGTCGCTTTGTTCCTTTCTTCCTCTCTTATACTCTTGTTATGTGATGGTTTTCTTTAGTGTTATCATTAGATTTCTCTTTTTACATTTTGTGTGTATCTATTACAGGCTGTAGGCTTGTGGTTACAAGAAGGTTCATGGATAGCTTCCTAACTAACAGTCTACAGTAAGTTGATGAGTTCTCTATATCAAATACAATCTAAAAGCAATTTTTTATTCTTCTTCCTCCACTACACTTTATATATTAGATGTCATAATCTGCATTTTTTTGTGTATCCTTTGACTGAGTTTGTGTATAGTTGGTTTTACTACTTTTGCTGTGTTTTGTTTTAATTTCATACTTGCTTGATAAGTAATTGGTGTACTACTTTGGGTCTATTTTCACTGGCGAAAATTATTTAGGCTTAGGAACATCTCCATCTACAGCAGTCCCTTTAATATATCCTTTAATGCCAGTTTAGTAGTGGGAAATTTCTTCAGCCTTTATTTATCTGGGAAATGTTTAATCTCTCCTTCAAATTTGAGTCATACCTTGCTGGGATGAGGATTCTTTGTTGAAGGTCCTTCTGTTTCAATACATTATTTATTTCATGCCACTCCCTTCTGGCCTGTAAAGTTTTTGCTGAGAAGTCTTCTGATAGCTTGATCAGGTTGACCTTTTAGTAATCTTTTTTTCTCTCCCTGGCTGCTTCCAGTGCCCCCTCCTTGTCCTTCCTCTGTCTACCTCATTCTAATTCTGTTTCTGTGTGGTCTTCCTGGGGCTCCTTCTGTGCTGCTCCCTGGGCTTCCATGACCTGGGTGTCTATTTCCTTCCTCACTTTGGGGACATTTTTTAGTAATTATTTCTTCAAGGAGACTGTCCACCCTGTTGTCTGTCTGATCTCCTCTAGTCCCCCTAGTATGTGAATATTGCTTCATTTGGAGTTCTCACTCAGCCCTCTTAGCCTTCTCTCATTCCTAGAGACCCTTTCCTCTCTGTTCCTTGGCCTCCCTGCGGCCTGTGCTCTGACCTCCCCCCACTGAGCGTCTCCTAGACTTCAGCACTCTATTTTTCATTCCTCCTTTGCATGTATCCTCTCAGTTGCTGTGTTCCTCAGCTCTCAGTGGCTCTGTTTCATCTCTTCTGTCTTTCTGGTGAAGTCTCCTCTGTGATCATCAATGCTTGTCTGTAGATCGGTGAGCATATTTATGACTGGCACCTTGGCATCTTTTTTAAGAATATTGGTGTTCTCTTGTTTCATTTAGCCCACTTTCTGGTGTCTTATCTGTAGTTTTGTTTGGAACGTATTCCTCTGCCTCCTCATTTTGTCAGGGTTTCTGTGTTTCTTCCTTTGTCTTGGATGGATCTGCTATGCCTCCTTGTGTGGAGAGTAATAGCTTTATGAGAAAGGTGTCCTGTGGTGCCCAGAAGCTCAGGACTCTTTGCTCCCCAGTGCCTGGTTCTCCTCTCTGCTGGAGTCCCAGCTGCTGTTGGTGGGCAATGGTTGGGGTCGTCTGTCTGTCTGCTGACAGTGGTCTGTCTCAGTCCACAGTGGAAGGCAGTTTGCCTCAGCTGGCCTTTTGTGATCAGAGCAGGGGTGCTTCTGTTGGGATTACTGTGGGCCTGGCTGCCCTTCATCTGCCCTGCACGAGTTTTGGGACTACTGGGTTAATGGGGTGGGTGGGGTGTTTGTTTGGCTCTGGGGCAGGCTTGCACTGGTAGTGGGAGTCTCTTTGGTCAGGACTGCCTGTGATGAGGGCAGAGTGCTTGGAGCTGTCTCCTGGAAGCACCTCTCTAATTGGGCTGAGACAGGGTGGAGAAAGCTAGGAAAGCCTTCCTCTGCCTGCTGGGCAGAAAGTCTGGCACTGCTGGGCCGAGCAGGTGGGTGGGTGTACAGGGAAGCCTCTCACGGCTGAGCTGCCAGCCAAGGGGGTTGCAGCATTCGGGACTTCCTGGTGTGCCAACCTGTTGGGCCATGTGAAGGCTGGGATGTGTTGTCCACCTGCCCTTCTCCTGTGGAGAGAGCTCTGTCCGACTCTTGCTCCTTTGGCATCCAGCTCCTGGCACATCTTTCAAACTGCTGCCTCTGTTTTGGGTCTCAGTGGGACCAGCAGAGTGTGCCTGTTCTCCCCAAGCTTCTGGAGTCTCAGCCTCCCAGAGTGCTCTGACTCTCACCAGTGTCCAGCCCCACTAATCACCAGGACCCAGTGCAGTGCAGACTACTGCTCCCAGAGCAGATCTGCAGGGCCAGGTGTGCAGAGCTCCTGAGCGCCTGCGCCCTTCCTGTGCTGTTACTTTTCCCTCTGCTTGTGGGCTGAGACGAGGGGAGGGCTTGGGGCCCACTGGAATACAGCTTACCACGTTACCATTCTCTGGTGGTCCTCTCTCCTCCCCCAGGTGTAGGTGGTCTGTCCTGCAGTCTCCAGGTCATTGTCAGGGTGAGCTGTAGTTACTGTAGTTGCTTCTTTGGTGTGTGTGTGGGAGGAGGTTTTCACTTTGCCTTCCTACTCCACCATCTGTTTCCCCCCTCCTCTTAAAAACAATATTTTGACATGAAAACGTGGCCAAGATAAATTGCTAAATGGAAAAAAGGAAGATTTTAGAAGGGTTTTAAACATTGTGTACAATGTGACTATTTGTGGAAAAAAATCCAAGTATTTTGTATATATTTCTATTTATATACACACATACTTGTATATTGTAAATATCTGAAAAGATACTGAATCAGTCAGAGTTCTTAATTTTCAAGCAAATGAGATCAACTTTGTCCAATATAAGTAAAAAAGATCACTTGAAAGATAGTAAATAACTCTGAAATCTCTGGAGTGCCTATAGAATTAGAAGTAATGCCCAAAGTCTACTGCTTGACGTGTTCCACGAAGACACCCTGTCGGTGGATGTGGGTGTGCAGTCTGAATGACTGAGACCACTGAGACTTCTGCTGGAGTTTTGGCCAGTGTTATCAGTACTCTGGAATGTATTCTGGATACTTGCTGCTCTTTTTTGTCATCTGTTTACAGTTCAGAATCTGGCATAGGTGCATTTGATTGTCAGAGCTTATGTTTTGTGCCCTATTTGCAAGTGAAGCTGGGAAAGTGACTATGTGGGCCTTCTGTAGTGGGCAGAGGGCCCTGCCTCATCAGATGGGGTGTTGCCTAATGTATAAAGAGGATAAGGAGCTTGGACGACAGACTGAAAGCCATCTACTGCAGATAGTCAGGGATTGCTGGTGTTGGTTAGTTCTGAGCAGTGGGGATGGAATGGCTTAATGGGCTGCTAAGGGAACCTTTTTGTGCTCTTTGAATTAAAAAAAATTATATAACAATGATAATAAAAAGACTTTGGGGAACAAAAGTGGACTTCATTTTTTCCCACCACTTCCACTGTTATACTGCTCCCATTGGAATCCAAGAGGGCTTCCCAACATAATGGGACAATTCCATCAAATTTTCCAAATCAATTTCATTGAGAAATTCACCATACAATTTCCTCTTAACTTCAGTCACCTCTATATTGCTTGTACATAGTTGGGCAGAGAAATCATGAAATGGTTTTCACTGGGATACTAGTGGCTGCTTCTTCCTTTTCGTCTGGTGGAACTAATTTAGTATAATTCTTTGAGGTCTATAGGATTCAGCTTTGAAAATTAAGGTGTTGTATTGACTGATATGGTTGATGCAGTGCTGATAAATGCAAGGTGCAAAACTAAAATATACTTAAAATTTGGCTGTACTGTGTGATTTTTCTGTTTTTCTACTATTTGCTTCTCTATAAAAAACTAGTCTGAGAGCTTTAGTCCAATAAAGTATTAGCATATTAAAGCTTTTTAAACTCTATTTCTTAGAACAGTTTTGATTTATGAAACAAGTATGAAGATTGTACAGTAGAGTTTCCATATGCCCCACACATCCAGGTTTCCATGTTAACATCTTACATTAGTTTGGTACATTTGTAACAATTAATTACCCAATATTGATATATTATCATTGACAAAAGCCCATGATTCATTAAGATTTTATTAGTTTTTATCTTAAATCCTTTTTTCTTTTCCAGGATAGTTGATGTATTTTATACATTTATATAGTACTTTTTCATATGTGTAGTAATGTCATAGAGCTATATAATTCTAGTTCTGATAGAATCTGGGGGAAAATAAATAAAATCTTGGCCATAATGAGATTCTATATTCTTTTATGTACAAATTTCTTATGAGAAAGAATAATCAACCTTTAATTTTTTTCTGTTCCATATTCAGTGGAACAAGTTCCTGTAGATCCGTACAACATCCCCCTGTCCCAGGCTGAAGTTATACAGGAAGGGAGTGATGTCACTCTAGTTGCTTGGGGCACTCAGGTCAGTAGCACTCACAGCAGTTGGTAATGTCCATATGTGCTTGGAAGCTGTCATTTTTAATCATGATACCATGAAGAATTTAAAGTGATGTTTTCCTTATGTCTCAAAGTCTTGTTCGTGGCTACATCTATATCTGGTACTGACTTCTGATTGAAGGTGGGTGCTTATCACTCATATTAAAATAAATATGCATATGGTGAATCCATTAAAAATACACTGGGTTTGCAAAAATGTATTCGTTGAAAATACTTTTTATGAAGTACACCTTACCTGTCTTCACTACTTATTTCTGCAGTTGACTGTCATTTGCATCCCATCTGCTGTCATCTCCCATGAACAGTTTCCTGGATATGTACCCGTGCAGTGGTGTAGCCTCAGAATTCCATACTCTTCTCTTTTCTAGCAAACCTCATCCCTGAACTATCTCAGCTTTCTCTGGTGCTTGTCAGATTGCTTTACCTGCGAACTTTTAAACTCAGGACCCTTTTTCCCTCTGGCCATAGACTGCCGTCTTTTATACTTTTATCTCTTTGTTTTAAAGAAATGGTCAGTTTTTCTTTACTCCATGTAAAGGAAATACTTGCTTATTTTAGAAAATTTAATACAGCATTGTATAAAGAAGATAATGAAAATCATTTTTAATACCACAGCTTCCCACTTCCTTCTCCACTTTGATTTTGGCTTGGGCAGCTGCAGTCCTCGGGGTTTCTCGCCTCTCTTAGTCTTCTGTCCACATCTCTGTCTCTCTTAGCAGGTGTCCTTACTTCTCTCTTTAACGGAGAAATTAGAGTGGGTAGACATAACCTGGCTTTTCCTTCACACCAATCACTTGGCTGTCAATCCTTTCCTCTTTCCCTTTTGTCCTCAAAGAAGAGGGGTCTGATTTCCATAACTGCCTCTCCAGACCTCATTCAGATTCTATTAGATTTTAACTTCCCCAGGTCTGTGACTCATTAGCTGGTGTCTCTCTCTCCTACATCTTCAGTTTCTCCTTTTCATGTCCCTTTTATTAAAAAGGTATGTATCTCTATCTAAAAAGTAACTTTTCTCTACCCTACTTTTCCCTTAAATGCCAGTATGTCTCCCTCCTTTATCACTAAACCTAAACAATTCTCTACTACTCATATGTAGTTCCTGTATGTTCTTGTACCTCATGAGCTTTGCTCCTGCTAATTTCCTAATACTATTTCTGCTAACATTGCTAATCTTCTAACTGTAAATCCAACGCTTATGCCATATTGCTATGGTCTATGACACTTTTTATATGAAACCCTTTCTTCTTTTGCTTCTGTTTCTTTAACTGTGTTTTCATCATTTTTTAAAAAAGTGATCTCTAGTTTCCTTCAGTGTTGATCATCCACAGGGTTCCTTGATTTTGCCCTTTGCTTCTCCCTCTGCACGCTTTCTCTAGAAACTTAACCTATTCCTGTGATTTTATTTACCTTCTGTGTGCTGGTATCTTAAGTATCAGTAAGTCTAGCAATGATTGCTCTCCCTTTCTGTAAGAATCTCTTGCCAATTGTTTTCTAGAAATCTATATTTGACTATTTTGGAGGGATATAGGGTTCAACATTCCTAAAATAAATTTAGTTCTTCATGCAAATTCCCCTGTTTTTAAACACTATCTCTGTTAATGATATCAGAATTCAACTAATTTTTCAGACCTGAATCTCTATAGTCAATCTTTGCATGTTTTTCTCCTTAATTCAGGTTCATGTGATCCGAGAGGTAGCTTCCATGGCTCAGGAAAAGCTGGGAGTGTCCTGTGAAGTCATTGATCTGAGGACTATAATACCTTGGGATGTGGATACAGTTTGCAAGGTATGAATATAATGTGATAGAGTATCATTTCCTCAAAATCTTGGGCCAGATTTGTTGGTTGTTTGCAAAGAATTATTTTGAAATTTTAAGCTTTATGAGAGTTTTCAACTGATTAAAATACCTTAAAGTTTACACTATGCGTGAAATGAGTGCTGTCTAGTCAGCTTAATGCTCAAGGAAACAAATCAGTTTAGGTTTATTCCCTTTTGTAGTTCTGTGTTGAAAATATTGTAAAACTGTGTCCTTCATGCACCCAGGTAGTTTTGAGTTGTGTGAATGGTAGAGTGGTGCAAATAGCGTATCAGGGATATTGAAGTTACCTGTGTTTTTAACTTATTATTGTTTATGGTTTGATATCTAGGTTTAATATAGTCAGCTAAATGGTTTGGCTAGATTTTTATTCATTTCTTGTCCAAAAGGATGGAAATGGATTATTTTAAGAACTCTCTTTGCATAGCCTTAATACTGTGGATCACAATTTGAATGCTATGTTGTGGGATTCTGGCTACTCTGGTTCAGTTTTCTATCAAAGTAGACTCTTTACAGCCTGCTCTCAAGAATGTAGTTTAGTTCTTATTTACTTGGCTATAATCAGTATCTTTGTATGAAGATAAAAAGTCTAGATAAAGTAAAGTGCATCTTTTCCCATGTTGGTATATAGGGAAGGTCAGGCTCTTTTTTTTGTGATGGTCTTATCTCCTAAAGTTTAGGTAACACTGCATGCATTATTTTTTCTCTTACTTTACTATTATAGTCATTGAATACTAGTAAGGATTTTTAAGTTTATTATTTTTAAGAGCTATGGAATCCTCACAACTTTTATAGACCATTTCTTAGGCTGTTGCATGAAAACCTGAAGCTACTACTGCTGTAAAAATGCAGTGTCTTTAGGTGAGGATTATTTTATAATTTAGTGGAAGAATTAAGATTTCTTATAGTAAATGTTCTGTAGACTTGATATCAACTAAACACTTGAGATGGTTATAAATGGTTTCAATAATTTCTAAATCCTTATATTTATAGTTTCCACAATTAAGAGCAGTATTTCAGGTTGATTTATTCATAACTGCATGAAAAGAATGCTTTTTGCAGGCATTCTTTGAATTTGAAAATTTAAATCAAGCCAGACACTGGGTTTTTTTTCAATAGCCAGATGTTTCAAATTATGGTTAAAGTGGGGCTGGTAAGCTTTTCCCCAGAGTGATCATCTTGTTTGCAGCACTTGGGGTTGTATTTATAGTGTAAATGGTACAGTGGGGTATGACACATAGTCAGGACAAGTACTTTTGAACGCCTTCACATATTTAATATTTCCTTAATTTACCTACATCCAAAAAGCATCTGTAGTAGCTTTTGGCAAAACACAAATATACCAACACTCTGAATGTAAAGTGAGGAGAGGTTGAGGAAGAAAGAAGGGGAAATTATTTGTATCTATATCAATTTGTTTGGATGGGATCCCCCCAACTATACACCCTCTTTTATTAAATCTGCTGGTTGACTTTTGTGATCTTGTTTGCTTACTGAAAAAGATGGAAGAGGGGACCAGAGACCACTAGTGAAAAAAGCGATGCATCAAAACTGACTTGTCGACACGAATAGTTTTGTGTTGCGGTGCTTTCATCATGCCGTTTTCTAGTTAATGATCCTCCAGTTATGATAGTGAAAGCCAGCATGTCATTTCTTGATTACTTTTGCTCTATTTGTGAAACTCTTTTTGATTATCATGGAGCATGTCCTGTTTTCATGTATCAAAAGAAAATTTTTGATGCTTGACATCTCTTCTGAAATTTGGAGAGGATATTAAAGGAGAGGGCCTGATAGCCCAACACTCATATACAAATAGGGCATTTTTTTGTGTTTAACTATAGTGAAGCTACTCTTCTTTATCTTTATGAACTCCATAGTAATCAAAATTTGTTTATTATCTCTTTCAGTTTGTGCTGTATTTTTTTTTTTTACTATTATTAATATACAATTACATGAGCAACATTGTGGTTACTAGACTCACCCCATTATCAAGTCCCCACCCCATACCTCATTACAGTCACTGTCCATCAGTGTTAGTAAGCTATAGAATCACTACTTGTCTTCTCTGCGCTATACAGCCTTCCCCGTGCCCCCCACCCACTACATTATGTGTGCTAATTGTAATGCCCTTTATTCCCCTTCTCCCTCCCTTCCCACCCACCCTTCCCAGTCCCTTTCCCTTTGGTAACTGTTAGTCCATTCTTGGGTTCTGTGATTCTGCTGCTGTTTTGTTCCTTCCATTTTTGCTTTGTTTTTATACTCCACAGATGAGTGAAATCATTTGGTACTTGTCTTTTTCCACCTGGCTTATTTCACTGAGCATAATACCCTCTAGCTCTGTCCATGTTGTTGCAAATTGTAGGATTTGTTTTCTTCTTATGGCTGAATAATCCATTGTGTATAGGTACCACATCTCCTTTATCCATTCATGTACTGATGGACACTTAGGTTGCTTCCATTTCTTGGCTATTGTAAATAGTGCTCTGATAAACATAGGGGTGCATCTGTCTTTTTGAGACTGAGAAACTGCATTCTTAGGGTAAATTCCTAGGAGTGTAATTCCTGGGTCAAATGGTATTTCTATTTTTAATTTTTTAGGAACTTCCATACTGCTTTCCACAATGGTTGGACTAGTTTACATTGCTACCAGCAGTGTAGGAGGGTTCCCCTTTCTCCACATTCTCACCAGCATTTGTTGTTCCTATTATTTTCTATGTTGGCCATCCTGATTGGCGTGAGGTGATATCTCATTATGGTTTTAATCTATATTTCCCTGATAATTAGAGATGTGGAGCATCTTTTCATGTGCCCATTGGCCATCTGAATTTCTTCTTTGGAGAATTATCTGTTCATATACTCTGCACATTTTTTAATAGAGTTATTTGCTTTTAGGGTGTTGAGGTGTATGAGTTCTTTTTTTAAAATTTTTTGTTATTATTAATCTACAGTTATGTTTACTAGGCTCCCCCCTTCACCAAGTCCCCCCAACAAACCCCATTAAAATCATTGTCCATCAGCGTAGTAAGATGCTGTAGAATCACTACTTGTCTTCTCTGTGTTGCACAGCCCTCCCCGTGACACCCCTCCCCCACATTATACATGCTAATTGTAATGCCCCCTTTCTTTTTCCCCACCCTTATCCCTCCCTCCCCACCCATCCGCCCCAGTCCCCT